CTGTACAGTTAGCATCTACTTCTCCATACCCTTTTACTTGACCGTACAGTTAGCATTTACTTGTCCGTACAGTTAGCATTTACTTGTCTGTACACTTAGGCATTCCACTTTTGTCCGTACAGTTACCATTTACTTGTCCCGAGTTAGCATTTACTTGTCCATCCATTCCTTCCATTGTCCACTTAGCACTCCTTGTCCTTTCATGTATCCACCATTCGCATTCATTTCCACCTTGTCCTTGTCCATTCCATTCCATTCCATCCACTTGTTCCATTTCATTTACTTCCTTCCATTCCATCGTCCTTCCATTCCATCCATTCCATTTACCATCCATCCTTCCATTCCATGCAGGTCCATTCCTCCATTAGTACTTTATTGTCCATACACTCCTTATCATTCCTTGTCCATACCATTCCATTTATTGACCTTCCTTCACATCTTGTACCTTTCTTCCTTGTCCATTCCTCCATTCACTTGTCCGTGCATCCATTTACTGTCCAGGCACTGCATCCGTGTCCATTCCACTCAGCATTTGCTTACCGTACAGCACATCTGTCCATTCCTTTACTTGTCTGTATTAGCATTTACTTGTCCATACATCAGCATCCTTGTCCATTAGCCTTGTCCGTCCACTTTAGTCTAATTGTCCACACTGTTTACTTGCCTGTACACCATTTACTTGTCCATACTCAGCATCTACTATCCGTACACACTTTTTTACTTGTGGGGTTTTCTTGCCCGTCAGCTAGCATTTTTTTGTCTATACAGTCTTTATTCCTCTGTCCGTACATTTAGCATTTACTGTCCGTCCATTACATACAGTTATCATTCCTTGACCGAACACTGAGCATTTACCATCCAGGATTTACTTCCGTGTTAGCAATTACTTGTCCGTTCAGTTAGGTCCTGTCCATTGGTCACTTCATATTTGGGATTCCTCCATACACTTAGCATTTATTATCCATACACTTACCACTTACTTTATCCGTCTTTAGTTTTACTCTGATACCATTTTTTTGTCCAGTGCATTTTGGTCCGTACAGTGTCCAGCTTGATCATGGTCCTACACTTAGATCATTTGTCCGGGTTGTAGCATTCTTGTCTGTACAGTTACCTCTACTTCCTCCAAACACTCAGTCTTGTGTGGGTCCTTATCCACTTAGTCTTATCCATACACTTAGCACTTACTTATTGCATTTTCTTTGACTGCACACGTTTCACTTGTCCCTGTCCATTTCTAGACTGAACACTTAGCATTTACTTCTGTACAGCTAGCATTTCACTTGTGGTTAGCATTTTGTCTGTCCATTACTTCATTTACTTGCCTGGGTCACACTGTTCTATTTTCCTAACAACTTACTCCGTGCAGTTAAGCATTCTTTTCCGTTCACTTAGCATTTACTGATCGCACTCCTAGCATTTGCATCCTCTGTACAGTTACCATTCTTATCCATACACTCCTGGCATTGCCTTGGCCCTGCATTCATTGACTTGTCCACACAGTTAGTCTGTCCATACACTTCGCGTTTACTTCCATTCTGTGGTCCATTCCTTATCCATAGCACCTTGTTTCCTTGGACTCCTTAGCATTTACTTGTGGTACACTTAGTGACTTGTCCATTAGCATTTCTGTCCATGTTTATTTTGACCGTGTTAAGGTCCAGTTACCATTTTCTACCATACACTTGGCATTTACTTGACCGTACAGTTAGCATTTACTTGTCTGTACCTTAGCGATTGACTTGTCCGCACAGTTTAGCGTCTCCTTGTCCGTACCTCCAGCATTCTTGTCTCGGGCACCTAATTGTCCGTACACTCCATTTACTTTACCGTCCAGTTAGTTCTTATATGTCCGTTCACATAGCATTTACTGGGTACACTTAGCATTTACTTGTCCATACATTTAGCACTACTTGTCCACATAGCGTTTACTTGTCCGTCCACACTTGGCAGTTAGTTTTGCTTGTCCAAAATACGTACATTGACTTGTCCGCATTAGCATCTTACTCTGTCCGTTGCATTTACTTGTCGTTGTCCACTTCCGCCATTTTACGTACAGTTAGTTTACCCGTGGCATTTACTTGTCTGTACACTTAGCATTTACTTGTTTTTAGCATCTACTTGGCGTTTACTTGTCCATTACATCTAATTGTCCTTACACGCGTCTGCCGTACACTTAGCATCTGTCCATACAGTCGCTGGGCATTTACTTGACTGTGGGGTTAGCCCATTTTACTTGACCGAACACTGAGCATTTACTTGTCCGTACAGTTAGGATTTACTTGTCCGTCCAGTTAGCAATTACTTGTCCGTACAGTTAGCGTTTACTTGTCGATACAGTTAGCATTTACTTGTCCGTACACTTAGCATTTACTTGTCCGTACAGTTAGCATCTACTTCTCTCCGTTCACTTAGCATTTACTTATCCATACACATAGCACTTACTTGTCCGTACACTTAGCATTTACTTTGACAGGAGCATACACTTTTAGCATTTACTTGTCTGTACAGTTAGCATTTACTTGATCGTATACACTTAGCATTTACTTGATCGTACACTTAGCATTTACTTGTCCGTACACTTAGCATTTACTTGTCCGTACACTTAGCATTTACTTGTCCGTACACCTAGCATTTACTTGTCCGTACAGTTAGCATTTACTTGATCATACACTTTTAGAATTTTACTTGATCCTACACTTAGCATTTACTTGTCCGTACACCTAGCATTTTACTTGTCCGTACAGTTACCATCTACTTCCGTACACTTAGCATTTACTTGTCCATCCCATACAGTTAGCATCTACTTGTCCGTACACTTAGCATTTACTTATTACCTTACACTTAGCAGCATTGCAGTTTACTTATCCGTACACTTAGCATTTACTTTCTTGACGGTACACGTAGCATTTACTTGTCCGTACAGTTAGCATTTACTTGTCCGTACAGTTAGCATTTACTTGATCGTACACTTAGCATTTACTTGTCCGTACAGTTAGCATTTACTTGTCCTTGCAGTTAGCATTTTTTCTAGACTGAACACTTAGCATTTACTTGTCCGTACAGTTAGCATTTACTTGTCCGTACAGTTAGCATTACTTGTCCGTGCAGTTAGCATTTACTTGTCAGTGCACTTAGCATATACTTGTCCGTACTGTTAGCATTCACTTGTCTGTGCAGGTAGCATTTACTTGTCCGTACACTTAGCATTTCCTTATCAGTACACTTAGCATTTACTTGTCCATGCAGTTAGAATTTACTTGTCCGTACAGTTAGCATTACTTGATCCTACACTTAGCATTTACTTGTCCAGCATTACTTGTCGTAGTAGCATTTACTTGCCTGTACAGTTAGCATCTACTTCTCTCCGTACACTTAGCATTTACTTGTCCGTACAGTTAGCATTTTCTCCGTACTTGACCGTACAGTTAGCCTTTACTTATCCGTATAGTAAGCACTTACTTATCCGTATAGTTTAACCATTTACTTACCTGTACACTTACCATTTACTTGTCCATCCAGGGAGAATGTACTTGTCCGTGTATACAGTTAACATTTACTTGCAATTGTCCGTGCAGTTAGAATTTACTTGACCGTACAGTTAGCATCTACTTGTCCGTACACTTAGCATTTACTTACCCGTACACTTAGCATATACTTGCCCATACAGTTAGCATTTACTTGTCTGTGCAGTTACCATTTACTTGTCCGTGCACGTAGCATTTACTTGTCCGTACTGTTAGCATTTACTTGTCTTTGCAGGTAGCATTTACTTGTCCGTACACTTAGCATTCACTTATCCGTACACTTAGAATTTACTTGTCCGTAAAGGTATCATTTACTTGTCCATGCAGTTAGAATTTACTTGTCCGTGCACTTCGCATTTATTTGTTCGTGCACTTAGCATTAACTTGTCCGTACAGGTAGCATTTACTTGTCCGTGCTCTAAGCATGTTCTTTACCGTACAGTTAGCATCTACTTATCTGTACAGTTAGCATCTCCTTGTCGTACAGTTAGCCTCTACTTGTCTGTACAGTTAGCATCTACTTGCCGGTGGTTAGCATCTACTTTTCGTACAGTTAGCATCTACTTGTCCGTAAAATTAGCATCTACTTGTCCTTACAGTTAGCATCTACTTGTACGTACAGTTAGCATCTACTTGTCCGTACAGTTAGCATCTACTTGTCCTTGCAATTAGCATTTACTAGTCATCATGCCAAGATTGTGGCACAAGTCATACAAAGCAAAACATCCAACACTATGTCCTGACTTCTCCGCCACTAAATACGCCTGGGTTTGTACGTCATAGTGCACCCAACTCTCAATGAACATATGCTGCCCTCATTCACTCGATCTTCGTAAATAATTGTCCTCCTGAGGATTCGTCCCAAAACTTTCAAAGTGAATTTCGACCTACAAAATTTTAATGGTAGAATAGTTGTTGTTTTAAATAATGGCTAAAATTCACTACAATCACCGGTGGCTGAAGGGAAGATGTAAATCCAGCTAGAGTCCATGCAGGTAGCAAAGGTACTGTAAGTCCCCATGGTCCCTAGTATGGTGATCAGTCTTCAGTTGCTGGTGATCTATAGCCCGGTTTTATAGTGTATTGTTCTCTATAGTGATATATTTTTTTATGATAGCGTACTCGTTTTAAAATTATGAGCTGTGATACTCAAATAGTTTTACTGTCCTTCGATGACAGGTTCTTATGTTCTCAATTTATTGTTTTTAATACTGATATCTTAGGGACCCTATCACAAATCTTTGTCACCCCTGCTCAATGTTACCCAAGCCAGTTATAAACAAACGTAACTGGGGAGTCACCTTATGTAAAAACATTATTACTATTATTGCTCATTAAAAACACTATTACAACATACAGCTGTGTACAAATAATATACAGTGTTAGTTCATGTACAGGTTTTCAGAATCACTTACGACATTCAAACATGGAACACATCTTATGACAACTTCAGTCAAATGGTCTCTGTTACAGTCACTCAGTACAACCTTATACAAGTACAGCAGCAGTTTGGAGATGTGACAGTGAAGGGCGCTGAGAATCTGAACATTGGCGGAACCCAGAATGTCGGTACAACTCCGACCAAACAGGATGAAGAGGAGGTACCACTGACTGCAGCACAGAAGATCAGGAGTGAGTTATTTGACAGATTATTCATCCACTGGAAGCCTGACTGATTTTGTCGCCACTGAACAAGACAGCTTGTAAACATAGTAGAATTTCCAATTAGGGTGTAATATGTCAAAATCTAACATTTGTTCTCTTTTACTCAGATTTTATGCATAGTTAAATGTGTTAAATGTGCCTTGTTTCCACAGAAAGGACGGCGTCCAGGATACAGTCGTGGACTAAAGACATGGTGGAGACAAAAGCCTTCAAGAAAGTGAAAGAGAAGCTGGACAGAGGAGCCACATGGGTAACAATTAAAGGAAGACCAGGAGAGGGGAAGTCCACAATAGCCTACATGACCCTCAAAGACCAGCAGAGTCAGGGGAGACAAGTATACCAAGTGGTGTCACCAGCAGAGTTCAATGAGATCATAATGGCCTGCACTAATCCTGTCATTCTGTTAGATGACATATTTGGTGATTTGGAATTTGACACAGCTGAGTGGGCTAAGTGGAGACCAAGTCTACGACCTATCCTGGATGTGAAACATCCTGACAAATATGCTGAAAAGGTTCCAGAGAGACAAAAAATTGATCAAACACAGCTAAAACAAACAAGTCCAAACAAAGACAAAACTATCATTATCCTCGTAGGCCGTGACTATGTGCTGAAATCCTCATTGGCAGACTTGGGAAGGATGGCAGATTACATTTCCAGTCCCCAGTACGTAGTGGAAGTTTCCTCACAGAGAGACTCTTATGAGCGAAAGAAGATATGGCGTGTTCATGCTGAAGCAAACAATATAGACTTTGAAGAGTCAGTTGTGTCTCAGATATGTAAGGCAGACTGTCCACACGGCTTCCCCCATGTCTGTAAAATGTTTTCCACAGCATATGAAAAGGACTGGACTCACCTTCAAATGCAAATGTTTTTTCAAGCACCACTTGATTTCCTCAGACAGACTTTGGATAAATCTATCCAAGACATGAGAAAGCGTTCACTGTTCATGGCCATGATTAAAAGAGATGGGAAGATTAGTGGACAAGAGCTGGAAGAGGATGATAGTCTGGGATATGAATGCATACAAGCTGCTGATGATTTGGTTGGATCTTACCTCAAGAAGGAAGATGACACTTACATGTTTGATCATCCGTCTATATATGACAGTGTTTCCTTTATTCTCAGTACAAAACTGTCGAAGTTTGTCATCGAAAATTGTAGTTTGTCATTTATCCGCCAGCGCCTTCGTCTTGCATCCTCCAAAGAAAGAGAGAACAACGTTCCTGGTGAGACAGGTATTGTTGCAAATATCTCGTGGACTTATGCTGGACATTTAGCTGGAAGATTTGCAAGTGAAATTAAAAAGAGCAATTTTTTGAATGTTTTATCCCACCAGGCATTTTGTAATTCAGGCTTTGTTGACTTGCTAATGGGCTGCCTGAAGAACCGATTTCACATGCGTATATCTGATATTGTGAAACTAAGTGATAGCAACTACAAAACATCATTTTGTGAATTACTTTCCAGCAGCAAGTCACATCATCTCATTCAAATTCTTATGGAGAAAGAAAATATATCATTCAACCGGAGGGAAGAAAGGGATATTTTAAGGGGTGTTTGCCGGAATGCTGCGTCCAATGTACTGAAATACATCAGTGGACATATGAAACTACGTATAAATACGAAATGTAAGGGGCAGACGCCACTAGTGTTAGCAGCAGAAACCAAAGACAGTGCGTTTGTCAATCAGATGTTATCCCTTAAGCCTGACCTGAATGCCAGAGACGATGATGATCGAAGTGTTTTTCATTATCTTTGCAAAAATGGCCTTACATCAGCCGTGGAACATGCGATTGACAAAGGTGTGAACGTTAATATGTATCATGGGCCAAATGAACACCCCATATACCTTGCGATAGAGAAAGGTCACTTAGAGGTCGTGAAACTGTTGGTTAACAGAGGTTGTGATATAGACAGCAAGAGGGGTTTCAGACGTGCTCTTCGGAATCGGAACGAGAAAATGGTGCAGTTCTTTTTACACAGAGGAGTAGAGGTTGACGCTTTTGCAGTGCACACAGCATGTGAGATCGGGGAGCTGAATGTCGTCAAGATGTTGTTTGAGAAGGGTGCTACTATGAACATGAAGGCATCTGATGGAAGTACTCCTCTTCTGAGAGCATGCAGAGGAAACCCTAATGTTGTCTCGTATTTGCTGAAGAAAGAAGCCAGTGTGAACCAAGCCTCAACATTTACGGGAGACACAGCACTTCATATAGCAGCAGAACGTGAATCTGCAGAGTGTGTTGATATGTTATTGAAGGCTAGCTTGAAGGCTGAAGGCTGGAGCTGATGTTAATGTACAAGAATAATACAGGTGTAACACGCCACGGACTTCATAGAGCAGCAAAATGGGGCTCTGCAGAGTGTGTTGATATGTTACTGAAGGCTGGAGCTGATGTTAATGTACAAGATAATACAGGTGTAACACCCTTACAGAGAGCAACAGCAGACCAGGAATCTACAGATTGTGTTGATTTGTTACTGAAGGCTGGAGCTGATGTTAATGTACAGAATAATACAGGTGAAACACCACTTCTTCAGTATGCAGATCTACGGACAAGGCTGGAGGACTAATGTCAATGTACAACAATGCAGGGGACACACCACTTCATAGAGCTGTGAAATGTATCTACATTGCACTGAAGTGTGTTGTGGGTGTATTACAGGAGACACATATCCTCTTGACGGAACTGGCCATGGTTCTACAGAGTGAATGAGTTATTGAAGGCTGGAGCTGATGTGTAAAACAATGTACAGAACAGCTATAATATGGATCTGAAGGTGTGCTAAATGTTACACCATATTAACTTCTGCAGCAGGTGACAACTACTTCAGTAACAGCAGGATCTACAAACAGTGTTGATGTGTTACTTGGAGCGAATGTTAATGTACAAAATAACACAGGCGAGGCAAAAAGCGGACGGGGATCTACAGAGTGCGTTGATGTGTTACAAGGTTGGAGCTGATGTTAATGACAAAATAATACAGGTGACACACCACTATTGAAGGCTGGAGCTGATGTTAATGTACAGAATAATGCTAATACAGGTGTATTGATGTGTTACTGAAGGCTGGAGCTGACCCTAATGTACAGCAGAGCAGCAGACCAGGAATCTGACAGATTGTGTTGATCTTTGTTACTGAAGGCTGGAGCTGATGTTAATGTACAGAATAATACAGGTGAAACACCACTTGTTAATGTACTAATAACACCACTTCATAGAGCAGCATTGTCATGCCGTAGATCTACGGAGTGTGTTAATGTGTTACTGAAGGCTGGAGCTAATGTCAATGTACAGGACAATGCAGGGGACACAGCACTTCATAGAGCTGTATTGAAGTATGTATCTACATTGCGTTTTAATGTGGCACTGAAGGCTGAAGCTGTTGTGGGTGTAAAGAATAATACAGGAGACACATATCCTCTTGACGGAACTGACCATGGTTCTACAAAGTGTGTTGATGAGTTATTGAAGGCTGGAGCTGATGTGAATGTAAAAACAATAGAGGTTGTACGCCACTTTATACAGCTGTAATGTATGGATCTGAAGAGTGTGCTACTATGTTACTGAAGGCTGGAGCTGATATTAACCTTCAGAATGCAGCAGGTGACACACTACTTCATGTAACAGCAGCGTGGGGATCTACAAACAGTGTTGATGTGTTACTGAAAGCTGGAGCGAATGTTAATGTACAAAATAACACAGGCGACACGGCAATTCATCAAGCAACAGGACGGGGATCTACAGAGTGCGTTGATGTGTTACTGAAGGTTGGAGCTGATGTTAATGTACAAAATAATACAGGTGACACACCACTTCTTCAAGCAACAGGACAGGGATCTGTAGAGTGTGTTGATATGTTACTGAAGGCTGGAGCTGATGTCAATGTACAGAATAATGCAGGTGACACACCACTTCTTCAAGCAACAGGACGGGCATCTGCAGAGTGCATTGATGTGTTACTGAAGGCAGGAGTTGATGTTAATGCACAAAATAATACAGGTGACACACCACTTCTTCAAGCCGCAGGACAGGGATCTACAGAGTGTGTTGATATGTTACTGAAGGCTGGAGCTCATATTAACGTACAGAATAATACAGGTGACACACCACTTCTTCAAGCAACAGGACGGGCATCTGTAGAGTGCATTGATGTGTTATTGAAGGCTGGAGCTGATGTTAATGTACAGAATAATGCAGGTGACACACCACTTCTTCAAGCAATAGAACAGGGATCTACAGTTTGTGTTGATATGTTACTGAAGGCTGGAGCTGATGTTAATGTACAACATAAAACAGGTGTAACACCACTTCTTCAAGCAATAGAACAGGGATCTACAGAGTGTGTTGATACGTTACTGAAGGCTGGAGCTCATGTTAACATACAGAATAATACAGGTGACACACCCCTTCTTCAAGCAATAGAACAGGGATCTACAGATTGTGTTGATATGTTATTGAAGGCTGGAGATGATGTTTATGTGCGGAATAATACAGGTGACACACCACTTCATAGAGCAGCAGGAAAGGGATCCACAGTGTGTGTTAATTTGTTACTGAAGGCTGGGGCTGATGTTAATGTACAGAATAATACAGGTGACACACCACTTCACATTGCAGCAGAAACAGCAATGTTTGAATCTACAAAGTGTGTTCATGTGTTACTGAAGGCTGGAGCTCATGTTGATGTACAGAATGATACAGGTGACACGCCACTTCACATTGCAGCAGAGTGGGGATCTGCAGAGTGTGTTGATGTGTTACTGAAGGCTGGAGCTGATGTTAATGTACGGAATAATACAGGTGACACACCACTTCACGCAGCAGAAGCAGCAGTGCTGGGATCCGAAGAATCTGTTTACGTGTTACTGAAGTCTGGAGCTGATGTGAATGTACGGAATAATACAGGTGACACAGCTCTTCATACAGCAGCTGGACGGGGATCTACAGAGTGTGTTGATGTGTTACAGAAGGCTGGAGCTGATGTTAATGCACAGAATGACACAGGTGACACAGTGCTTCATGTAGCAACAGGAGGGCGGGGATCTGTTGCAGAGCACCTGGAGCTGATGTGTGTACTGAAGGCTGGAGCTGGCTGTTAAGCAGGGCGGGGATCTACAGAACACCTTGAGCAGGGCTGAGCTGATGTTAATGTACACCACTTTCATACAGCATCAACAGTGATGGCATCTGAAGACGTGTCACTACAGGATTTAGTATTTGACACACCTCTTTCTACAGAAGGGTGTGTCGATGTGTTACTGAAGGCTGGAGCTGGTGTTAATGTACAGAATAAAACAGGTGACACACCACTTCATAAAGCAGCAGGATTTAGTTCTTCAGAATGCGTGGATGTGTTACTGAACGCTGGAGCTGATGTTAATGCGCAGAATAATGCAGGTAGCACACCACTTCATATGGCATCGGTGTGGGAATCTACAGTATGGATTCATGTCTTACTGGAGGCTGGAGCTGATGTTAATGTACTGAATACAACAGGTGACACACCACTTCATACAGCAGCAGGACGGGGATCTACAGAGGGCGTTGCTGTGTTACTGAAGGCTGGAGCTGATGTTAATGTACTCAACAGTTCAGGTCGCACACCACTTGATAAAGCTGCAGGGTGGGGATCTACAGAGTGTGTTGCTGTGTTACTGAAGGCTGGGGCTGATGTTAATGTACTGAATACAACAGGTGACACACCACTTGATAAAGCTGCAGTGCGGGGATCTACAGAGTGTGTTGATGCATTACTGAAGGCTGGGGCTGATGTTAATGTACTGAATACAATAGGTGACACACAACTTCATATAGAGCAGCAGCAGGATGGGGATCTACAGAGTGTGTTGATTCATTACTGAAAGCTGGGACTGATGTTATTGTACTGAATACAACAGGTGACACACAACTTCATATAGAGCAGCAGCAGGACGGGGATCTACAGAGTGTGTTGATTCATTACTGAAGGCTGGGGCTGGTGTGAATGTACTGAATAGTACAGGTGACACACCACTTGATAAAGAAGCAGCAGGACGGCGATCTTCAGACTGTGCCTAGTTGGTGTTGATGAACAGAATAATACAGATACTTACTATTTTATATAACAGTTGAGATCTGCAGATTGTGTCCATGTGTTAGTGAGGGCTGGAGTAGTTGGTAATGTACAGGATGATACTTCATGCTAATGTACAGATGGAATCTACATTTTACCAGTCCACAACGACGTATACTATGAAGCACATGCAGTGTATGTGTGTGTGCGCGCTCTTCCTCCTGTTGGGCCCTTCACCGTTATAGAAAGGGGGTACTTAGTTCGATTTGATGCCGTTTTTAGTAATATTCCAGCAATATCAGGGCGAGGAACACCAGAAATGGGCTTCACACATTTTACTCATGTGAGGAATCGAACACGGTGTTGGGAATACAGAGTATAGCATTTGACTCGCTAAGTCAAGAAACTCTCAGGAGTCCAGCTGCCAAACTCGGTCACCCATCCAAGGAGTGTCTGACAGACTGCAGCACACACTCCATTAGATGTGATATGGTGTAGACAGTAGTAGTCCTGTATATTCAGGTCTTAGTATTATACATGTTGTTTTATAAATGTTTCAGTGTTGGTAAAGATTAGGGTAAAAATGATTATTTGTAATGTAGATTATTGTACATTTAATTTGTTTGCTTTTGTAATGATGACATGTTACTATATGTTACCGTGGTTTTCTTGTATGTGCTTTAATACTAGAGTTTGTAGGTATTGTTGCACACAGTGTGCACAGTGTCGCTTTGTCCCACGTTGGAATGACACAGTTTTCAGTGAATTTATGAAACGTAAAGGGAGGGCAGAAAGTTGATGGCTGAAAAAGTGTTAGTGGTTCTGGGATATCCTAGGTATGTACGTTTCAGTGGAATATATGTCAGTAGCCAATTGACATATTGCAATGCATTTTCTCAATCAATATGTTGATCTCACTACTATGATATGGATATGCATATGACGTGACGCCCTCCGTTAAAGATGTCAACTTTAACAAATAACAACACCAATTTTGCTTATTTCCAGTGATAGGTATAAACATGTTTAAATAACAAACAACAAATGTGTGCGTTAGCATGTTTTGTCTGTTCGTAGACGTAAGAGTACAACTGCCTTCAGTAGACATTATGCAAGTACTGTCTCTGTAGAGTGGGTACATGTTATGAGGCAAGGCTGCACAATTAGCCCCATACTGTTTACTTTGATTTTTAATGATCGTGAGATATTTGTAAATGTGTCAGTGGAAAATATCACCAAACTGACTGAAATATCTGCAATTGAAAAGAGAAGCTTATCGCTTCCTGCAAACTCGTGCTGTTTTAACATAAACAGCAGGTCAAGTAAGGGCGTCTCGATACTTCCATGTTAGGTCTTCTTCTCTCATGAAGAACGCAAGATAGATGTTTGTCAGTTTGCTGAAACAGAATGAGCGTGTAGCAGATTTTATGATAAACATGGTATGAAAGCAAATGTAGCAAAAGGCAAAGTATAGTCAAGCGAACTGAAAACATACGATTTATAGGTGAACAAATTTGAAATTGTATCACCACTATGTGGTAATATTTTTACTCCCATCAGGTGGTTTGGCTGTAAATATGCACAAGGGGCTGAAAATGTTATGAATTTTGCATGTTCTTGTATATACTATGAAAATCACTATCAAAATTCTGTTTCCCAGATTGATTGTACTGAATACATTAGGTTCCTGAGAAAGTTTTGTTATATGTGAGGCACACGTTGTTGCCATGGATACAAGATGGAATGAAAATCCTTTCATCAAGGGTTCTGACAGATAAGCACATGGTAGATGTGAGTAATCAATTTTTTATTTAATCTGCAAGGACCAAAAAAATAAAGAATGTACCTAAAGGGAGGTAACTCATACATTGTACACGCTATGCAGTGTATCAGATGGGCCTTGTGAAGAAATATAACTTTGTGAGTGCATTTGTCATTCCACGGTTGTTATGGAGTCTTGATGTGTTTGTATTCTGTAAAATGTCTGTGGGTAGGTGAAGATGGAAGACTGTAACTGTATAGACATTCTTTCGTTTTAAGGTTTGTCTACGTTGCCTGTGACAATTCAGGTTTTGGTGTATGTGTTTTACACGTTACCGTTAAGTTGTTAGTTGTTCAGTTACATTTAAAACGAAACCCCTAAATTCATAGAATCTGTCTAAATACGTGTTACAAGAATGAAAGGGAGACCCTGAAGTGTCTATCATACTTTTTCCACAGGGCTCCAAACGAACAAATATACTCAGTAGGGGAGGTAACCGCACGTGGCCTGAATAGGCTGCTTCATCCATTTACTGCGGAGATACTGGGTTTATCAAATTCAGCATGTAATGTGTAAAATCTCATATTAGGAAAACAACGTGTAGCTGATAAAACAGAGAATAATTGGAAACAAGAATTATTCATGTTCGTTTGAAAGATCTTGAGTGTGGATGAAACAATTAGGGGAAAGCTGATTACTTGTATTTGTAATGAGGGTTATTGTACGTTAAAATGATTTGTTATTGTAAAGAAGACACGCCGCCAAGGTGTTATTGCATGTATTTTGATAGTTAAATATTTGAGATTTTTATATTAGTGTTGTATATCGTAAATTAATATCATGCTATAAGCCTGTATTTTGGGACTTGAATAGTAAATTTTGACTTTTGCAATGAAGACATGTTACTACATGTTACCATGGGTTTCTTGCATGCACTTTAATACTAGAATTTGAATTTATTGTTGCACACAGTGTACATTTTAGATGTATATTACAGTGTTGGTTCATCGTGTATCATATGTATAAGTACCAGCATTTACTTTGGGCCAGAGACCTTGAACATGGGATTTTGATTTGAAAGTACTTCTCACGCACAGAAGAAATGTTCAAACATAAAACTTTTTGTGTTTTTATAATTGAAATGATAAATACATACACATAAGCCCGTATCTATTTTATAGGAATACCAATGAATGTTTACAATTGCTTATTGATCTTAAGTTGGGAGATGGAAGTGAAGTTGTTTAACCAACCTGACTGCAGCTCACACTCCATTAGATGTGACATGTAGACAGTGGTAGTCCTGTATTGGTCAGGTCTTAGGTCATCCAACATGGAGTGGTTACCCAGTCACGTTGGCATTTCTGGGAACACAATGACTGATCTTGCTTCCAAGGCAGCACTAAATAAATCTTTGACACCACTTCTTATTCCATATTCTGATTACAAAGCTGGCATTAGTACTTACATCCGTGATCTGATGCAGAAGAAGTGGGACACCCAAGTAGGTATTAATAAACTACATGAAATAAAACCTTATATTGGTTACACTCACTTGGGTTGTCAGTCCAGATTTGAGGAGGTCATTATGCGACGATGTCGCATTGGCCAAAGAAGGTATACTCACAAATACTTGTTGAAAGGTGAAGATCCTCCGTTTTGTATCCCTTGTGATGAGAGAGTCACAGTCAAGCATCTCCTGCTTGACTGTGTCGAATTCTCCATCATAAGGGATAAATATTTCAATGTTAAAACTGTTAAGGATCTTTTTAACACTGTTCATGTTCATTTAATTCTTGTTTTTTTAAAAGAAATTGATTTGATTAATGATTTTTGATTAATATGTTCTGTAAATAGATGTATTTTAATGATTGGTAGTTTAGATTGTTGACTTAGATTGTTAGTGGCTGTACCCTCAAAGGGGGTTAAAGTACCATAAAATTATTGTCCTCCTGAGAGGGTACGTAAGTCCCAAAACTTTCAAAGTAAAATATAAATTATCACATTTTAAACGTAGTATTTTTGTTATTTTAACTGTTGGCTAAATATTCCTACAATCGCCAGCGGCTGAAGGGATGGTGTAAATCCAGCTAGGATCCATGCAGGTAGCAAAAGTAATGTAAGTCCCCATGGCTCCTAGTATGGTGATCTACCTTCAGTTGTTGGCGATCTGTGGCCCATTTTTATACTGTGTTGTCCCCTATAGTTAAAATGTTTTAGATTCAATTACTAGTTTTACATATATATCTGTGATGCTCTAGTTGCTTTACTGTCCTATGTCGGCAGGTTTTATAATTTCTATATATATTCTATTTCAATGTCAAGTGTTCTCGTCACGATATGGCTGGAATATTGCCGATGTGACGTGAAATAATGACTCATTTACTCACTCACTCCAACATGGAGGGTCGCTTTGTCCCACGTTGAAATGACACAGCTTTCTTTAGTAAATTTATCAAATGAAAAGAGATGGCAGTTCAGTTGTTGGCTGAAAAGTGTTAATGGTTCTGGGATATCCTAGGTATTTATGTTTGACTGGAATATATGTTAATAAGCAATTGACATATTGCAATGCATTTTCTCAATAAATATGTTGATCTCTCTCCTCTGATATGGATATGATATGGATATGTACATGTAATGATGACGATGAGGGGGGTCAAATAGCCTGGCCTTTTCTATCCTGAATAAACTTCTTTCTAATCACTTTTCTTCTTTTCTTCTTTTCATACAGGATATTGGATACTATTACCTCGGTCTGGTGGTTGGATGGTTGGTTGGATGGTTGGATGGTTGGTTGGATGGTTGGTTGGTTGGTTGTTTTGCAATACTGTCAGCAGTATTCCAGCTATATAGCGTCGGTCTGTATAGAATCGAATCTGGACCAGACACTCCAGTGATCAATATCATGAGCGTCGATCTGCACAATCGATCATCGTTAGATGAATATCAATTGCTTATTGATAAATATCGGAGAAGTAACTTTGAGCAAAAATGACTTAAAAAACACATTTCACATCAGTGATAAGCGTCGACATACCTGGCCTGGGCATACCCAAGGACAGCCAGCCAGCGTGTCAGGCAGTGAGTCAATTACCGATTTAATACGGTCGGCCAGTCAGCGTGTCAGGCAGTGAGTCAGTTACCGATTTACTACGGTCAGCCAGTCAGCGTGTCAGGCAGTAACATTGTCTGCTCAAAACTGATGGAGATGGACCTGCTAAGTGTGTCTCTTGCGATGAAGTGTTCACCGGCAAGCATACTCTGCTCAACTGTGTGGACTTTTCAACTGTGAGGGAATAACATCTCACTCTCAAGGACTTAAGGGAAATTTACTGCATAAATAAAATTGACCTGGGTCAGGTGTAGCATTCTCCTTCCATCACCACTCCAACTCACCAATCATTCCCTAGTCTCAAACATACGGAAAATAAGCTATAATACCACATTTCATGGGAATACTGAAAGGAATACTGAAAGCTCAAAAATCTGGTTGGGATTGAGTTTTGACTTAAGTTACTTTTTCAGAGGTTGACACAGTTTTTAAACCCACTTCATGTGTCCTCAGTGAGGCGTTATGGAGGTGGTAGTTGTTCTTGAGCGTGCTGCGTCACAAATCATGTGTGGACTTGAACACAATGTCACCGAGTTCAGACTTAGCTGTTGTGGACCTTGTCTCCAGTGAACAGGAGTAATGGGTGTTGAGGGCGTTTCTGGAGCACATATGAGTGGCAGTGTAACCATCGTGGAATCCATTATAACCACATTCTCCGTCAACTCAAAAGAGAATTATGGGGTACAGGAAGGTAGTCTT